TTATGGTTATGCTACAAGGCACCAATTGCATGGAAAAGCCAATGGTTGCCAAGTATATTGAAGTCTTAATAATAWAAGGACTGGTTACTAATTTATATGCACAAGCCYAATATTARTAATTAGGAAATGTKGAGTTTWATGGCAGAAGAAYTATTGCAAAAGWTGCCATTGGTATCAGTTTCATAAGRTGTTTTRAAATAGCTGACAAATAYWGTTGGGRAAAAAAAAGTTAAAATATTTGCCAGAAAGAATACTTAAACATCCCAAAATAGTCTAACAATAGTCTAAATGCAAAGGAGAGAGATTCTGGGAGTGGAAGAAGGTGTCCAATATCAAAGAAGCTYGGGGGACAAACTTATGCCCTTCAGAAAAAAAAAGAAATCCTTTTAGATTGTAGAAGAGCACCTAGTGTTTGGCAAGGTAAGTTCAAATTAGTGGAACTTTGATTTGCAAACAGAATGTAGGAAAGGAGATACTAAACTGAATCTTAAAACTTCAAGTGTCTATTATGTATAATACTATTGATGAAAATAATGAAAAAAATAGGAAAAATGAGTACAACAGGAAATATAATGATTTGTCCACTTAATACTTCCATTAATGTAGTTTAAATACATGTAAAAACCAGTATKTAATGGAAATGATGGTTACCTGACATTATTAAAACAAGATATTCTGCCTCAGATTGCTAAATCCTAATTGTATTTATGGATGCTAAGTACTGTATTTTACATACAAAATTACCTCWCTGGATCTAGTGCTACTCAGAAGGGTAGATGTGAAAAGTATTAGGTTTRTTGTGCAGATGAGTTTTGCCAGACTTCTGAGATGAACTGGATCTCTTGCAGTAAATTTTGGAACCATAACTAAATAAATAAATARATAAAACTGGCATTGTGACTTGCAGATCAATATATAACTGTAGTATGTAAAGTGCAGGATATTCACTGCTTCAAAGGAMGTGGTTAATTGATTGGGGGGGATGTGGGCTGTATTTCTTGGTGTACTTCTTTCTACAAAGGATTTGGTATGCCTGTATTTTCTTGGTGCCAGTACCTTAATTTATGATGGTACCTGCGATCTTGTGGTCCCTGCAGTGTGGTTTTTTATGGGTGTGCATTACTGGGCAAGAATTGATATAATCTTAAACTGTCTTTCTGCCAGGAAAACCCTAAGAGTTCTTACATCCTGAAAGTTCAGTGGGTTGAAACCTGTAATTTTTGATTGCTAGAAATACTGATGAATGATTGAGTTTAGTGTCAGAGGTTCTGTCAGATCATAAGGGGGACATCCATGTACCAGCTGCCTGATAAAGTTTCCCTGATGTCTGTGTGCTTCATGCCTAGTAGAGAACCTGTAGGATCTCTTTGTGTTCCCGTCCATGTGCCTTAAGGAAAACTGTTGGAACCCAGTTGTTTTTAAATATTGATTTCTACTAATTTAGTGAGATATGGCAGCAGGTTTAAAAGCTTTGGGGAATCAAATTTGTAGCTAAATTAACATGACTTTTTCCACTGWAAAACAGACCAGGATGTTTAATCAGGGTGGATTAGAAGTGGGCTTTGTAGGTGGCCTTTATAAGAGATGTGCAACCTCCTTTCCCTGGTATAAATTCATTGTTGATGTGTTCAGGTGTAAGGAAGAAATTTTCTGTGGACCTTTTCTGTTATTTTTCTTATACTTTTCTTGTGTCACCATCTGAAATATGTTTTACTAYTGGAACCAGAGTACCAGGAACAGCCAGAGCTTGGATTAATTCCTCTTACTTAGTTCTCCTGCTATGGGAGGAGAGCAGCTGAAGAATAATCAAAGTCTAGTCTCTCTGTCTTTTGAATTAGACTACTGTGAGAATGGGAAAGATATATATTCAACCTTCTCTTGGTCTATATTCATCAGACTATTGTATCCACTCCCAGTCTGTTTTGTCATTGAGGCATGCCCTTGGTGCTRGTTAAATGCCAGAGGGAGTCTATGCCCAGCAAAACAAAACTTATTTCATTTGCTCATCTCTTAAGCACACTGCTGACCTCCTTGCTCCATAGTGGTTTCAATTGTGCCATTTCCAACAGCAGCCTTTGGGCTTTACATTTGAACTCCTAAGGGCCGTGCACTYTGTAGCTGCTTTCCATTTAATGGTATCRTATACCAGCAAACCATAAATCATAWRTACATATTCTTCTTTGCCTTACATGGCTCAGACTGTTCTGAGAAAAACTGGTTCTACCATCCAGTGATTCCCTTAGCATAATCATTGCTTGGGTAGACCTGTTTGAAAAGATCTTGCTAATCCAGTGCTCTGGCTCAGACATGACTGCATGGTGCTTATGCTGATTCCTTGAGTTTGTTCCTTGTTTCAGTAAGTGTGTTTTGAATGCATTGCTTGAATTCAACCAAAAAGTTAYTGTAAAGAGTGCAGGATTAAACAGGAAACCCAGATTGTGCAAAACAGTTTTTATACGTTTTGCAGAAGTTTGCTGTGGTTTTTCTGGTTGACTGTTGAAAAAGTCAGTGAGGTTGAAGATTAGAGCCTTTTAAAAAGAGAGGTTGATCTCCCCTTTTTGTCTTTGAAGGGAGGCTTGTCTGAAGTTCTGAGACTGGGTTTCACTTCCATTTCRTTTCAGTTGTCCTAAAATAGTAAACATGAAAATGTGAAGCTTATTGTGTGGTAAATTCTCATTTAACCTGCAGTTAATGTAAATTATTATTTAGCAGAGCAACTGTTGTAGCCGGAATGGCTGTTTCTGAAAATCTGTATGTGGAGTGGAGTCAGTTTAGAGCACATGGTTTTGATATACAAATTACCCTGTTTTAGGCCCCAGAGTTTAGCCATTGTTGTTGTTAGGACATCATAGGCTCCTCCTTTTCAGTTAAAGTCAAWTAGTTTGTTCTACTGGTTTTCTTTTTTTTTTTTTTTCCAATTGACAAGATACTAAGGAAGCTATCTTGTAGCATGAACAGAATGCAGAGATGTGTAGCTAAAATAGAAGTGTTAATCTGTGTCATAAATTGGAGAAAAGGGAAAGGATGTGACTTGTGGCATTGATGGTAATGATACATGTAAACACAATGTGTTTCCCTGTAAACAGGGATTTAAAACCCTCATTTATGTTACTTAACTAAGCTGGTATTTTTTCTGGTCTTTCCATTTGATGGTTTCAACTTTTTAGGTATCTTCAGGAAGGATAGCACAATACAATATTCACTTCCTGTTCACTTAAAGATATTACAGTGTGAGTAATGTGGGCTTTTTGGAGCATCATCTTATCAAATTTCCCATAGCTGTACAGATAGAGGGTTGTATTGACTGCCCTGAACTGAAACAGCTTTTAAAGATTATATTCACTGCTGTAGTATCATATGACRCTGATTTCTTATTAATCCTCCATCATGGAACAATAACTTTTAGAGTAGACCAGAGTCATGCCAGAAATGTCTAGTGTCTTCCTGAAGCCAGGAAAGATGAGAAAATAGCATTGCTACAGGGGCTTGATTTCTGCACTAGAAAGACAATCAGCTCAGCTTTCTTCCCCTCCCCACCACTTAAACAAAACAAACGAAAAACAGCTAAAAAAAATCCCAAAGAAACACCCCCTCAAAACAACCCCACAAACAAAAAAAAAAACAAACCAACCCACCTGTGTCAAGTTTAGGAAATCCGTAATTCCTATAATTTAGCTATTTCCAGCTGCATCTAAAAAAAAAAAAAAAAAACCAGGAGAAAAGCTGCTAGAGAGCTGGTAATCATCTGATTGAGCATTCAGTGTGCTTGCAATATTTGAAAATTAGAGTTCATAAGTGGTTAGGATTTAATCTGTCACATATGAAAGACTCTCCTCCAGCCATATACAGGCTTAGAAGACTGTATTAATCAGAAGTTGTTGCAAAAGAATGCTAGAAAGGTTCTGAAAAAGTCTGCTGAAAAACTGAGTRGTGGGAAGGAAGGTGAAGAATCAAGCTAAAATCTCTGAATTTGTGAGTGGCTTTTATTAACTTTCTAACATCTAAAAGGTAACCACCGATACATGTATGTAGCTTTTAAATAAATTAAGATTTGAAAGAAATAGATTAATTAGATTTTGTGTTCTCTAGGGAAACAATGCACAAATGAACTTAAATTCTGTCTCCAGTGGTAGTGGAAAACTAAAACCATCTTTAATAGTTCTTMATTTGTTTCTAAAATGATAACTAAACTGCTGTTAAACTTTAGGATAAGTTTAACTTAGAATTAATGCCTGAGATGATGCCCTGTACCATAATTTAGGAAATACATGTTTTTCCTTACAACTTGCTATTGGTCATGTTTGTTGTGTAAGCAAAGTCATTCAAAGTCTTTCAGGGAAAAATATGTCTTACAAATTATCCTATATGTATCATTGTCAAGAAAAAGAAAGCCTTTGTGGACCAATAAGGTATTTCAGATTTTTAAAAAATCTTTATGGCTAAAATTTCAAATTCAAAAGCCTTTTTCTGTGTTGCTTGTTAGAATGGCCCTCAGAAAGTAGTAAATGCTTTAAAATTTAACAATAAAATTAGAATAGTGTTTATTGCTTTTTTCTAAATCTATACTGCACTAAAATGTTTTCCTTAAGGTGGAATAAGGGCTGACTTGCTATCTAGGGTCATGCTCTTAGAAAGAACCTCTTCATCTGTTCTTTTTTGGTGACTTTTTGCTCTTCAGTCTTTATCACATTTAATTGTTTTGAAGAAATTGTAGTAATGGAAAAGAATGTCTAGCTGTGTAGTAGTGAGGCTTCAAATGCCAGGTTTTTTTATGTATTTTCTTACTGTGACTTCRTCCAAGTTGATAATACATGAGTATCAAAGCAAGAGTGACATTAAATGCCAGCAATACGAAGTTTTCCATGTTTACTTTCAGTTASCTGCTTTTGTAGAATATGGAGAAGAGAGTACAGTAACATGCTATGAAAGCCTATCTGCAATGTATTTATTTCTGTACTTGGATTCAGTATTCATTTTCACCTTCTGTGTCTTTTTTACAGAATGGACAGCAAGTTGTGGATGAACCTATGGGAGAAGATGAAATCAACCCACAAACTGTGAGTGAGAGATGGTTGTACTAAAGATAATACAATATTGGAGCACACTGATATCATTTAATTCATGGGCAGTTTGCCMCTAGTGTTTTGTTGTTTAGGGTTCTGGACATGGGGTGCAATTTAAGATCTTAATATTTTTGGGAGAGGTTTTTTCACACTGACTTTCTTGTCTAGTTTGGTATCCTAGTGTTCTAAAAACTCATTCCTWAGCTTTTAGTAGTTTTTCAGGGAAGGCCAAGGGTGAAGAACAACTGTTAAAGTATAATTTCCGTTGTRTTTGTTATTGAGAGGCATTCATTGAAGGAGTTCTTAATTCTAGGCTTCTTAAAGATACAGATTTTTACTAAAGAGAAGATCAATTAACCTTCCTGACTGATAATTTTTAAGGTTCCTTGTCTTCTTGTCAAACTTGCAGTTTACAGAATGTCATAATGTGAAGATAACCACTGAGTTCAGTTTTCTTGTTGCAATGCCTGTGGATTTTGTCAAACATTGTTTTCATACAGTTCTGTTGTAGAAGGTACTATCTGAATGTTAAGACTGGTGATGAACGACTTTACCAATAAAAACAATTTTTAAAAGTCGGTATTTGGTTGGAGTTGAGGGTTCATATGCTGGTATTGCATATTGAGCAYGCTTCAGGTTGTGAGTAGATGGTCAAAGCTGTTTCCATCTGTACAGCATGGCTATAATTGCAACACAGTAAAGGTTTCTCTTGCTGTTGTGGACAGAGACAGTTGTTTCTTCCGTGCTTGTTTTCAAATGTACCCRTAATAGATGTCACTCTTAAGCTGACATGAAAACTGGGGGATTGAAAGCCTGCTCTTGGCTCCTCCTCACAGCATCAAGGTTCTGCTGTGTTGAACACAAGYTGCTGACAGGTGGCTGAAGTAGTGCAGTGTTTGTTAAAGAATAAGAAAGGAACAGTATTTGTTTAGAAGACAACACTAGGACATCATTTGTTCTAATATTATGCATAATACAGACTACAGTGCTTACTTGAATTCTTGTGTAAATTAGAACATACCTTTGGGAAAGTGCTCAGTTTTGTTTCAGTGTGTTAATTTATTTTTACTTGTGCCATTGCCTGATTCTTTCCTTGTTTTGAGCTCTGTAACTTAGCTGTTGTATTTGTTTGACCAGGCAAGGTTTTGGTGGGGGGATTGACCTCTGTCAGAAGATGTCAGGGGGTTTGCATCACCATGTAGAGCAGAGCCAGATTCAACCAACTTCAAAACGGGCCCAGCACTGACAAAAGCTAAGCCCATCAACCATGTGGGTGGAGATCTGTGGTAACATGTTTAGGGTAAAAATTGCTGTGTTACATCTGTGAGGGTCAGCAGTGAAAAAGTGTGAGAGAAACAGCCCTGCAAGACACCAARATGAGTGAAGAAGGAGGGACAGAAGGTTCTTTGTGTGCTGGAGCAGAGATGGTGAGACAGGCTGTCCCTTGCAGCCTGTTGGAGGATTACAGGGGACATCTCCACACTGGAGCAGGTTTTCTGGCAGAAATGGCAGCTCATGTTGGACTTAGGCTGGAATAGTCTATTCCTGAACAACTGGACTCTGGAAAGGATCTGCACTGGAGCAGGGGAAAACTGAGGAGGAAGTRGCAGAAACAGTGTAAACAACTGACTGCAATATCCATTCCATCTGTGCTGCTTGAGAGGGAGCAGGTGGAAGAGTGGGGAATTAAAGAGTGAAGTTCAGCCTGAAAGGAAGGGCAGGGTGGAGAAAAAGATGATTTTAGTTTCATCTTTATTTCTTACTATCCTGGGAACAGGTGAAATAAGTTTTCCCTAAGCTGATATTCTTTGGCCCATGGTGGTAACTGGTGAGTGCTGTCCCTGTTCATATCACAATGCATGAGCTTTTCTTCACCTTATTTTTTCCACATGTCCTGCTGAGGGGGGGGATTGAGAAGAGTGGCTGGGTGACTGTCTGGATTTACCCCTCAAAACGATCAAACTTCTCTTTCAATATTTTATRACTGCAGGATTGCTTACAATTTTATAACTACAATTGCTTACAACTGCTTGAAAAGATTGCTTTCCCTGTACTTCCTTCAGAAATTTCCAAASTGCTTCTTTTTTGTTGAGCAACTTAATACAGTATGAAAAGTATAAAAAAATTAGCACTTTTCTCTAACACTCTTTCTGTTATCCTTGAGCTGCTTGGTTAAGATTATTTTAGTTTTTTAATGTCTCAGACCAGTATTTTAGGACTATATTTTGCATGTATTTTCTAGGCTGTGRTGAGTAAAAGGTTGCCAATTGTGATGTAAACTAATCTACAGGTTTTTAAACAATAAGTTACTACAGCTTCTCAGTGTCTTATAGCTGGAAGCTAATCTGTGCTGTCAGACAGTTGACAAACTATTACTTAAGCTGGATGTTAGACTCTGTCAGTGTTTTATAACCTGTTTTGGTGCAAGATACAGACTTAATTTTAAATTAACACTGAAAGTAATTTAGGTTTTTCTATTCAACTTTGCACTGAAATGGACTTGGGGCACTCACGCAGTWGTTGAAATTTATGAAAATTCATGAAATTTTTCAGCTGTAATTGAGGACAGTAGAATGCCTGGGGTGTACTAACATATCAGGTAAGAAGATAAAATATTTTCATCTGTGTGTAAAGTATGCAAGTTCAGAATATAGAGTTGCCATAGTTCTGTGGAGATAGAAGAAGGTGAAGGCTTGAAATACTGCATCCTTTTGCTGTGTTAAGTGATTGGATAGGATGCTGATAGTGCAAACCAGATAGGAAGTTTAAAATAGATATTAAAACTTAACACAATTTTATGTACGTAGGAACTCTCTAGTATGCTGTATCAAAAGATAAGTTTTGTTTCATTACATCCATGTTCTTTTGGTCAAATGTAAAGTTAATTAACTGGAAAGCCTGAGTTTCGTGGCTTTGATTCAAATTTGGTGATTGTTCTAGGGAAAGCAGGAGCTATAAAGATACCTGTTTCTAAGGAGYCCAAGATGCTGTATGGTCCAAAGTCTTGCTTCTTTTAAAAGGGGAATCATTCAGTAGTCTGGTTTTATTGCAACAAGTGTGCTGGTTATATCTGACTTTATAGCTTGCTGTCAACATTTCTTTTTTATCTGATGTATTTCATAAATGACCTGGGACCAGCAGGAAATGAATGTAAGAACAGCTGCCTGAAGCTTAATCTAATGTAAAAGCTTAAGTGAACATCACTGAAAGGGGAAGCTATTTAAAGCCTTTTATTTGCTACCTTTCTCACTCTTGTGGTGTCTGCCATTGCTTTCTTGTACCTCTGTGTCCATAGAGGTTGAGTAAATTAACTGAGTAAGTTAATTGTTTTGTGCTGTGTGCTTTAGGGTGAGTTAAAGCTAAGCAGAAACCTCAGCTTGTCTAGCAGGTGGCTTCCCATTTTGTGTATATGTGAGGAGCATATCGTGTGTGCTGTGTTCTTTGTCATGTTCTGTTTTCTGGATTTTATTTAGCAGAGTACACGTAGTACAATTGATGCATTGCCATTGCACTCTACTAGCTGTAACCCAGTTGTTAAACATATGAAAATACTAGGTTCCAAGAACTTGTAAAAAAGTTTTCTTTTCCCTAGTATTATGTATGTTGCAGAAAAAATTGGGTCTGTTTCTTTTCGGTAACCTGCAAGGACTAAAGGTTTTTTTTTAAGTACATGCAGAAGTGGAACCTATTCAGGCTCAAGCCTGTGATGAATCTCTTCAATGCACATTACTGTCCTTGACTTCTTGTGTGCTTTGGTAAAACTTTGAACAAGGCCCTACTTTTAAACAAACAGAAAGTATTAAAGCATACATAGAATTAAAACTAAATCAAAACAGATCATATTAAAATATGCTGATCCTCTTACAGAAAGTATATAGCTAAGGTAACAAGTGACTATTTCCTGGGTAGTCAAAAGGTAGAGCAAGAACTGCTTGCACAGAGAAGTCAGTAATTAAAAAGGTCTTTTTCATTTGTTTTCTTCCTGGTAAAATTTAAATAACACATCTGTTTGCAGTCAGGAGAGTTGAAAATTAAGACCACTCTTTCCCAATCAGTGTTTTTTTATTAAAAGAGATTATAAGAAAAGTGTGATCTTAAAAAAAAAGGCTTCAGAATACATTAGAAAAATAATCTGAAACATGTGGGCAATACAGTCTATTTGATGAAGTATGAAATTTGGTCAGTGCTGAGATTCTGTGTTTTACATGCATATTTACCATCTGATTTACACTAAATCTGTAAGGCACTGGGGTGGGGATGTCAAGATAAGGAGAGGGAGATCATTCACCAATTATTGCCATGGGCAAAATAGGCCCCATCACTCAAGCAGCAATACCAAATCCAGAGAAATCTGGGCTGATCTCATTTGTTGTGTCCTCATCTGTGAAAATAATATAGGATGAAAATGTTAAAACTAATAATTCGGAAAGAGAAACATAACTAAACTGACATATTTTTAGATTTTAAAATATTTCAGAGAGGCTTTAACTGATTTTTAGTTTTACCTCAATTTCTAATATTATGTGCTAATGAGAACTCAGCATTTCAGAAACTTTGTTTACCTTTTGGCAAATTAAAACACCACTTCAGGGCTGCTCTAAACTTCTGTTGGATATTGCTGCTAGGTGATCAGTAGCAGTTTCCTTGTTTAAGAACAGTCATATGTGTTAACATGAGAATGAATGCATTTCTGATGATAATTTTGATGTGTTTGTTTTATTTTTGGTGATATAACCTTCACGTTTCAATTTTCTGTGTGTGCATTTTTGTCACTTTTTTGGTTAAAACTCTTGGCTCTGTGGTATGTCCGTTACGTCTTAAAACATAACTGTATTTTTTAAACTTTAGGAAAATGTCTGGATTTACRAGTGTTCATAGTCCATCAAGTTTTGGATTCCTCATTCTTTACAGAGTGATACTTAATTTTAGCTGAAGCAAGTAGTACTTGTGTAACTAYTTGTAACAGCTTGGGTTACAAATASTRAACTCATACT